CAAGGTCCCCACCAAGGTCCCCACCAAAACTTAGACCGAACCTACGCCCTTGAGGCCTATGAATTTTCAACACTAAGTAGTGTTTCATTTCTGTCCTAGTCCTTACTATTGTTCCCATATAATCCACTTCCTGTCAGCCTCATGGTCTTAGCAAATCAGAGACAGCATGCTGGCTGAGGTTCAGCACCTCCACCAATGGTTACATCCTGAAGCATCGCCCTGACTGCTTAGAGGGTTTGGACCTGCAGCAGACCACTAACTTGTCAGCAGCTTTTAAACATTTTCAGCGCTGCGTTGTTGTGATCCGGCATGATGCTGCTGCTGCTGCTGCTGCTGCTGCTGCTGCTTGTGCTCCACTTATGCTGACAATTTTCCAAAGGTCACTGAGGGTTATGCCAAAAATCTGAAGACTGTCTGCCGACTTCACTGCATGAGCTCATTTGATGGTGTAAAAACTGATCTCCATGAGCTTTTACCACACAGACTTTAGAAAACGGTTTTTGCCTGCTTAGTCTGTTGAAAGACTGTATCCAGTCCCTGAATACAGCCTGCATGCAAACAACATGTTAGCCTATGTATGTCTTTCTGCATAATGGTCAGGTTGTGATGCTATGCAGAGCACCAAAGCATCTTTAAGCTGGTCTTTTTTCCTCAAAGATGGATGCTGAGTGACGTCCTGTATCACCTGTCACAGATCCACTCTGTCAGTGATGTGAGAGCAGAAAAAGATTTCTCTTCTTACCTGCTGAGCAAAGATGAGCACAAGAGAGCAGCAGAGAAGTGATAGCATCTCTTCAGTGTGAAGGCTGTGGTGAGCTCCAGAGAAGGACTCACAGGGCGCTGAGTGAGTCGGACAATGAGCTTCAGGGTGGACAGACTGGGAGAGGGAGAGTGGAATGGGGTGGGGTCGGGTCGGGCGGGGAGAGATTGGAGAGCCGACCTGTTGGGGAAGGGGACAAAGCGCCTCTCTGTCTCCTCTGCAAACACACCTTTCCTCGCTCCGCCGATCCTGAAGGGAAATATTTGTCTTCATAACTGCTGGGTGGCTCCAGGGCCATCCAGCCCGGCCCAGTTGTTTATTCTACGTCTGTGGACCTCACTCAGATTGATCTTGGTGAAAGAGCTAAAATTGTAATCCACTTTGCAAGGCTGCACAGACATACACCCAGGAATAATTTAGCAGAGAAGAGAGAGGCCTGTTTTCAGGAGAATGTGCTGAACAAACTGGATTTCATGACAAAGTTCTGCTCATTAAACCCGTTCAGTCTTTTCTGGTTTGGTTGATTTGGTGCTAAAGCCGTAAGGTCCAACTTAATGTGGAATGTATATGAGATGATATTTTCTTTCTGTTTACACTGATTAAAGACTCCATGTGACACAACCTCAATCTCTTGGGCCAAATCGCCCTTGAAGCTTCACATGGAACGATGCAGGAGGGAGCAGCTTCTTCTTACAGTAAAGGCCAAACATTCACTCCTCAGAGGTCCATGCATACTCAATACAGTCAATGAACAAACCTGAACAAAGGTTTGTTCAATATAGAGTCAATGCACAGTCAATAGAGAATCAATACAGACTCCATATATCACATCCACTCAAAGGCTAATTTTGTTGACTAATTTTGTTCACTCTGTGTCATAGTAAACAGTTTGGCAGGAAGTCATGTTCACATGGAACTGTTTTGTACTCCGTCATGTTAAGGTATGGGTCACCTTCCAGTGGGGTCATGACCCTAAGCGTTCAGCTGCAGTGGTACCAAAGTGGTTCAGAATAAAGTATATTTGTTACAACAGCCAAGTCAAAGTATAGAATTAAAATCAAAATCAAATCTACTAGAAGACTTGAAAATGAATACATCACTTTCCCTCCACTTCACTAATTTTCTCACATTGTATTGTTCTATCATGTAAAATCAAAATAAGCCACATTTTACATTGTGATTTTATTGTAGCAAGGCTTTGTTGCTACAATAAGGACGTGAAAGTGAAAAGTGCAGAGTGTTGCTCTCTCTGGGTGCAGCCCACAGCCGAGGTCATTACAGCCAGGTGAGGTGAACAGGGGAGCGTAAATATTTCTCACCATGAAATGAGAAGTCAGCAGACACACCCAGCTCCGTATATGTTCTTGTTCACACCACAGCTGTTTTTACTGGTAGAACGAAACAACGCACCACTGTCACGTGTAGATGTGTGACTCCTCCTTTGTGATGCCGTCAATCAGGACAGGCTGCAAACCTGCACTCACATGGCAGAGACTCAGAGATCTGATGATGCCTAATGAGTTTCAAGGTTAGGATCAATAATGCCTTCGGTCTTCTGCTGGCTTTCATGAGCTCACTTAGGAAATTATTAACTTCATCAAATTTAGGATGGTCCTAAAAGTGAATCAAAAATGGTTAAATAGTTTTCATGACATTAGAATAAAACAAAATGTTATTTTATTTTAAATGCTGTATTTAGGGCAGATGAGGCTGTGCACACAAGCTGAAATATCTGAAAACATTATTATGCATGCTTGTTTTTTAGAAACATTTTTACACTTGCTTATTTACTTTTTCTCAGACTTTTCACCTTAAAATTTTAAGGTATGCTTCAGTTTGTTTCCTCTGAAAGTTGCAGGATTTATTGAGACTTTGAGACTGAGACTTCATCCAGATGAGCTCCTGGATACTAACATGTGTTGGTGATGATTATATCAGACGTCATCCAAGGCCTCAGCTGGAATTTGTTTGTTTTTTTTTATCAGCAGGGACACAAGAAACTCTGGATTCAAAGCCTTTGGTCAGATTTCTGAAACTTTTCGTCCACTGGGCTTTTCTCAGCTTCCCAGTGGTTGTGAGTTTGCGTGCAGATCCGTATGCCTGATTATAACATCCTGTCATCTGGAGTTGTGAAGGGACTGAGCATATACCTTTAATATTTACTCGCAGAAAAGCACAGAACGTTCCTTTAAAACTGCTGGACCAGCTGACTTATTTATTCCAGATTTTTTTTTCCTTTGTCATTTTTATCAGTTCAGAACAGCATGTCTGCTGGCTGTGAGGACTGCACGCTTTGGCCCCATTTTCCTTCCTCTAGTTGCTTCTTTTATGAGCAGGGAATGCTCCCACCTGTTTTTGCCCACTCATCACTTCCAAACCCAACACCAGATGACATCTGTTCAATGAAATGACTGAAATGCCTCGTGTTTTTTTTGTTTGTTTGTTTGTTTTTTTACAAACAAGCAGAAATAAACAAAGCATTTGAGAATGCACGATATCTAATATTGAAAGGTTGTTGATGTAAGATTACTGCAGTGCAGACTGAAGACGTTATTGTAAAATTAAAGTCATATTAATGAGAAGCCAGAGGAAGTGCTGGAGTAAACAGTTGAGCATAGAGCAGCGTTGTGTTGCCCCTCCCTACCTGCTGCTGTGCAGTGATCACAGTGAACACAAGGGTGATTGGCAGCACTAAGACCCTCAGCCTTGCTCTGATTGGTTGGTTGACAGAGTTGTGTATTTCTGCAGATGGCAGCACAACCAGAGGGAAGAGGTGGAGGAATTTAACATTTTTCAGCAATTATATATCTGAGTTAATATTGTCATGACATAGTGAGAGTTTTAGCAAAAACATTAAAAAGCAAATTTTGGTAAAAGTTACCTCTTCCAGCTCTAGAGTGTAAACACTGATGTTCCTATGTGCTAACTGTGTTAGCCCTGCATGAGGCCATTTGTCTGAATGCAAGAATTCTGGTCAGGATTTTCCAAACATAATTCCCAGAAGCTTTGGGACAGGACGGCTGAACACGCTCAGTCAGCTGCACGCCTCATATCAGTGTTTTAGAACACAGCATTCCCATGTGCAGCTCACTTTCAGGGTCCCAAATCATTTTTACTGATTTTAATAGCAGCTGAAAGGATGAAAGCATTTTTTCCAAATGGCCGCAGTTCAAACCATGTTGAATAATTGTTATGTGAAGTCAAAGCGTCTCAATCCTGCGCTTACAGTACGTTCTCTTTGAGTGCGGGAACTGCCTCAGGCTCATCACACCTTTTAGATGCATAATTACCATTTTTCTGTAATCTGTCATGCTCATGCTTAAACAGGTGTTGGTTTCACATTCCAGCTTTGTCGGGTCATTTCTTCTCACCTGCCACTCTGACAGTACGGTTGAGTCTCTGTGACTGACGTGACCCCTTAGGGTCCAGGGTCAAAGTTTGCTTCAGGACATCCTGCTAGAAACCTAGTAAGGATTTCCAGGGAAACTACTAGTTTATAAATCATTAACTACTTATTCTTAAACAGGGGGTTATATATTTTTTTTGTTTTATTTTTTTCTTCTTTTGCTCTTTCCTTTGGTTTGTTGTTTTGTTGCATTTCCTTCTAATTCATGTAAAGCAGTTTGAACTGCCTTGTTGTTGAAAATGTGCTACATAAATAAAATGACCTTACCTTAACTTACATTAAGATATACATTTAATGTTTTAACAAATTCTTAACAAAGAATGTGTTGTAAATATATTCACTCAGTGCTTTAGCTGTAAAGACATATCATCCTAATGTTACACAGATGTGAGACAGAAACATGGGGGATATTTTTATGCAGATCTATCAATAGATCAATAGTTTTATTGTACAGAAATCACAAAGATGAAATCAGAACCACACAATATAAATTCATAAAAGCTCCTTAACATATTAATAAGTCATAAGTTATTAATATTTCCATAAGCTTAATAGTGTTATTGTTTGCTTGTGTTTCTTTTCACTAATAGGCCGACTCTAGAACAAGCCGTGATCATGTCTCTTTACTGAAAAATCTTGCAGTGTTGCCACAGTTTTGTTTTGTTTTTTATTTGTTTTTTTTATCATTTTTGTCTTCAAAATACCAAATTTTGCACATAACTTTCTGCTTTTTCTCACTTATTACATCATTTTATAAGCTCTTTTCTTTCATTAATTGTTTTGTACATTAATTATGTAAAGCACTTTTAATTTTTGCTGAAAATGTGCTAAATAAATAAAATTACCTCACCTTAAAATATTGAATAAAATGTTGTGATCAGTGAATAACCTCTCTACCAAATACTTTCTGACTCTTACATGAGTCATTTCTTGAACAGATACTTTTTACTTTTATTTTAGCAACTGTACTTTTAGTCACAGGTATGATGCTTTTGTTGTTGTTTTCTTCATTTTGATGCCCCACTTCCTGGTTGTCTGTTTGGTTGGATAACAGAGGGCTTAGTGGCTCCTCTGTGTGTGTTTCTCTGTATTTTCCCCAGTCTTAGCAGAGACTCACAGTGAGGCTCCATTTACAAAACTATGATCCACAAAGTTTGACCTAAGATTAGATTTCTAACTCGTCTGGGATTGCTGCAGGTAATTTTTTTTTGGATACTCTAGAAGGGCAGAGATCAGCCTGTCCTTTCACTCAAATTAATAACTAATACTAGTTATTAACACAGAGAGAGAGACACAGGAAGGAAGAGGTCAGACAGCAGAAAGACGTATTCAGTGAAATGTATGATCAGCTTCTAAAGTTAAGCAAGCTGCCTTGAAAGCTGGTGTTTCTGGAGCAGCATAAAGAACACATACTGCTCTCTCTACTGTGTCTAATTATGTTAGTGCAAACTGCAGCATATTTCAAACCCCACCAAGAATTCCACATTGCAAAATCAAGATTTACTTCCAAAGGATGAATAGTTGCACAGTGGGACATCAAAACCTTTCAGTTCAATAAAAAAGCATAATAAGCAATTCTTCCTCCAATACTGAGACAGTCAGAGAAACTAACACAACAAGAATGAAATGATATGACTCAATAGCCACAAAATGGGGACATTCGGCAATATATGTTACAATTATTACCTTTATATCAACTTTGCATGATTTTGTAAATAATTTAATGCAAAGTTGGCATTTTTTATGGACTTTCATTGCAACTTTTAGAGCAACTTTGCATTAAAAGTGACATTTACTGAATGACACTTCATGACAACAGTCATAAACATTCATAAAGACTCCTTCATGTTCATGACAGGTGTTATGTCATCTTTATGACAGTGTCATGTCAGTCTTATGCACACCCCTTCAAATAAAGTGTTACCAATGGGTAAATATATTTTGAGAAGTACTTAAACTCAGTTTCACCACTCATTTAATTTGCGATTAGTTAATTGCAAACTGTTCATATGTCAATAAAATAAGCAACATTTTCTGTTCAGAGTCTTTCTGCTGCTAAATTATCTAGCATATCTTTGTTGTTAGCTCAACAACAAGTATATTTAGTGTTTTTAATCCGTTATTTATATCATGTACAGCCATCAGATTGGTGCAGAGTGTTTTAATACACATTTGTCTTTCCAGAGTTTCATGAACTCCTGATCAGTCATGAAGCTTCTTTAGAAATGTGACGTCTGTGCTGCTGCTACATGTCTAGCATTGAGATGCTATTTTAGGTTTGAATAGCTTCACTGGTAGGCTAACTGTTTTTAGCACAACTTGAACAAAATAACATTCTGTCATAAACGATGTGGTTGAGGTGGTGAGGAAACGCAGGTAGACCCAGGCAAAATGAGAATGATGAATTTAATAATGTAGCTCACAGTCTTGAACAGGCAGCACGGCAGAAAGTTAGCACACAGCTAATACCGGTAGCAACTGGATAACAGACATGTAAACGAGCTTAGGTCGATGCAGGACTTCACAGTTCAACTGCGTACGACCCATAAACAGACGTAGACTGACGGCACAGGGAAACAGTTACAAATGACGAGGATCTGACCAGGAACACAGACAACAGGTGGGGCTAAATACACACAGGGTAATCAGGGGGATACGACACACCTGGGGAGCAATCAACAGGGAGGACAGAGACTCAGGGAACAGGACTACACAGGGAAAACAGGACTGAACACAGAAGAACTCAAAAATAAACACACAGAAACCCAGATCATGACACATTCTTTTCCAGCGTTCCATCAGATCAGGTTTTGAAGTAAAACTGGACCAAGAGAAGCAGCTTTAACGTCCATCGCTGTTTGAGGAAGTTGCTTGTGTGTTGCATTTACAGGCGTACAAGAAACATGAGAATACAAAGGTTCTCCTGTAACCTTCATATTCCCAAGATTGATTGCTTTAAAAAAAATGTTAGTGAGAATAAGTCTGGGCCATACTTTAAAGGTTTTGTCTTGACCATCCACCCTCTCGTGTATTATAAACCTCAAGTGTCTTTTCAGATCATCTGATTTTATAGAATTTTATTGGGATGTATGTTTGATTGAATTGAAATGTTTTGTTTTTTGTTTTTTTTTTGAATATTTAAGACAGTATATGTTGTGAATTGGCACTATATATAAGTAAAGTGAAGTGAATTGAGTTCATTTCACTCAGTTTACTTCACGTGAGTTCATAAAAAACATCTACTGCTGTGCCTTCTCCTGTTCATGCTGAACAGATTGTTCCTCTGGTTCTTGGAGAAATCCCTTCAGATTCGATCAAAATGAACTTTTTCCCCTGCTGCTGCTTGTCTAAGCTGGTTTTGTGTTTTCCAGCATTTCTGCATTTTTCAGAACAAAACCAGCAGACCAACTAACATTTATATCTATGTGACTGCCTCTGCTCATTCTCAACTCATTTACATATAAACTGAAAGGACCTCCATGTGGCCAACACAAGTCGAAAGCCTTATAAATGTTGAACTCCCTAAACTTTGAGCAGTGCATGTGAAAAAGACTCTATCTCCCCCTACAGTTTTTTCCACGTGAATGTAAATGAATTAAAGCTGAGATTTACTGAAATCTTGGACTAGTGGCAGAACCTGCAGAGGTCAGAAAGGAGAGCATGTTGCCTCAGTGACAGTCTGAATGACATTTAACAGTAGTACATAATGGCCGTTTCTCAATATGCGTTCTTGTCTGTACTTGTGTTCTTGCGTCCTCGTGAAATGTCATCGACAACGGCCCAAGTACTGTTCCAATTCAAAGTACACATCCAGGCAAGAACGCTCAAAGTACCCGGATGTGTTCTTGCTCCGCCCATTTTATAATATCTGTGGGTATCTTTGTCAAAAAGAAACAACTTAATGGAATATACATTTAGTTAGGGGCAAAAGTTGTTGCTGTGACACAAAATTGTGTTTGTTTATTTACAAATGGAAGCTTTAGACTTTATTTAGATTTAGAGACACAATTTTATTTACAAAAAACAGAAAGGCATTTATTTTTTTAGGGCTGAAATGATTTATCAGATTAATCATTATTAATTGCTTTTTGAAATAATCAACAAACAAATGTATTAATCTATTAATTGTTAACTGGAGTATACAGACTCTACTGGCTGTTTGCTGAAGGAACAAAGTAATTAATCCAGAACTATACAAAGGATGTTGGCATTTTGCATTTATGCTATGACAAACTGTAACTATGTTCTACCAGAACTCCTCACTGTCATAGATTTTCTCCTGCTGGTTGCCTTTTGCTATCCAAGAATCAAATAATCAGAAAAACTAATCACCAAATCAGCTTTACACCATATTGATGTTAAGTCCAGCAGATAAAACTGAGTTTTTCACATTTTGATGTTTAAAATATTTTTTTAGCTGCAGATGCTTTTTCTGCTACAAATGATCCAGTGTTCACTACAGAAATGCTGTTAATGCATTTCAGGCAATAATCCATTTACTTTCTTATTTGATATTTTGTGTATTTGCATTTTCTTCTGCTTTTCTAATATTGCATTAAATAAGCTTAGGAGGTTAAATCTGTACAACAGTTTATTTTACTCCAATAAATCGATTAAATAATTGATAATTAAAATATTCATTAGCAGCAGCTGCTGTTTATCTTCGCTCTCTGATTCAAAGTGTTTCATCACAAACTGATTCAAAGCAGTGCAAAGTTTTAGGCACTAACATTTCTAAATGCTTCATTTAGATGCTGTTCTTTGTATTTCATATTATTTCTAGGAATATATTTTGCATTTTAACATAGAACTAGAACTTTACCTGCCATTTTCTCCAAAGTACGGTTTAAGCTTCGTTGTCTGATCACCACAGAGCCGACGTCATTCATGCAGATACACGTGAGCCCTTGTGTAACATCTTAGTTACTTAAAGGACCTTGTTGGGGGCGGAGCCTGCTGTGTGCCAAGCTGCTGTGATGATGCTGTGAGTCACAGGGATGCCAGTGGATGCCACCATGTTGGTGCATTCATAGGCAGTTGAAACGTCATTTTCATATCAGCGTGCTGATATGAATGTTGAAAGATTCCAAGAGGTTTTCATTCAGGAACATGTTGGTCAGAGCCACTCAGACTGCAAACGGCCCTGATCCGTCTGCAGCTTCTGCTGTAGTCAAAGTTTTTCTTTTTCAAATCAACACACTGCAGGTTTTATCAACAACTCCATCAGTGTTATGGTAAAATAAGATGGAAACTTATTTTAAAGTGTCTTTAGCTGACATGTTCCTGTGTTTTGGGAGATTAACGCTTCTTTTTGCCCTCGCTTTTTTATTTCCTGCTTTTAGTTTTAACAGAAAGTTTGTGGTGAGGTGTCACTTCCTCATGGCCCCCCAACCTCCACTCCTCACCACTTCGTCCTTTTCTACTTTGGTTCCCCGACTTTGGAACTCTTTTCTGTAAGATTTGTAGAATTATCTTTAAAGCACATGGAGGCCGGATCCCTGATCCTGACACACACCACAGCTCTCAGATTACCTCTCTGCTCTGTTCCACTTTTCTGAATGCTTCTTACAGGAGTCACTTTAAACCCAGCAGCATGCAGGATTACCCACGCTGACAGGCAGGTCAGGATGTGATGACTGAAGAAATGAATGCAGTCCTAATCTCACCCTGCTATCTCTCTGCTGTCTTTGTGTGGTGGCCTCACTCCACCCAGCAGCATTCAGAACGTGACACCAAGAGGAATCTCCAGAGAATAACTGGAGTGTAATCTCAGGAATTACACATATGTCATCTGATGCTTCGGCTTTTTTCCTCATCAGAATGGAGCTGCCCTCCTCTCTGCCTCCTTCTCCCCCCACATCATGACCAACTCCCGGTTTCACCTCCAAGCCAGTTACTTAATTTAATCTTATGAAACTCTTTCAGTGAGGGCGGAGGGACAGTGGAGCATCCTCCACTGGCTCCTCCCAGAGGTGGCAGGCTCCTCCCTCCTGCTTTAAGCTCTTCCCCATTACTCTGAGCTCAGAACAGCCTCAGAGCGTCCCGCGCTGCACAGATACAGGTCGCTGTCAGAGCCCAGCAGGTGTGACTGCGTCTACATGCCCACTTTCTGCTAATCACCTGCCTGTTGCAGACTTCTATTTCAGACGTTTGCCTGCTGCTGAGCTCTCCTGGTTGCCAGTTTGAGTGCATTAATATCTGGGGATCCTCTCTGTCAGAGCAGAAGGGTTAGAAACATTTGAGGTGTGGATCTGCAGCCAGCCAGCACAATGAACTTCGATGACATTTTGAGCAAAATCGGAGGCTTTGGGAAGTTCCAGAAGCTCCTGTATGTGTGGATCTGTTTGCCTCAGGTCTTCCTGGCGTTCCACATGCTGGTGTCCGTGTTCACCGGGGCCGTTCCCCGTCATCTGTGCCGCTCAGCTTGGCCCTCAGGGGCCACCCCCGCCACTTTGAACTTCAGCCTTCTGAGCGGGCCCGACAGCCGACCCGAGCTGTCCTGCAACATGGCCCTGAACCACAGTGGCGGCGGCAGCACCGCGGCCCCTGATGGCACTGTGGCCCCCGGAGGCGGACGCCCCACCGTGAGCTGCCAGGATGGCTGGGAGTACAGCAAGGAGACATTCCAAAGCACCACTGTCACTGAGGTGAGTGGAACACCATGCAGAGCTGCCGGAGACGCGTTCTCTGGGTTCTGAACACCCACAGTTTCCATTAATGTGTTAAACATAAGAAGTGGTGCAGCTGTGGAATGTGGAAGGCTTTTACTACAGACGGCTCTGTGATATCTGACACTGGCTGGGGAGAGGAGACGGACACATGCAGTTCAGACTCCTGTCTGCACGCCGCAGCAGAGTATGGTTATGACACGTGAAGGTGACGGATGTTCATCCTGGATAGGGACGCACCGATCCACTTTATTCACTTCCCATACTAGTACCGATATCTGAGGTTACCGATACCGATCCGACACAGAAAAACATCTGAACTGACTTAATTGTTTCTTATTATGAAATGATTTCTGAATACAGACATAAATGTTCTGAATTACAAATTTATTTCATAATTCTGCACCAGTTAATCACACTTACACACACTTAAACACTAAAAGTGTATTAGCTGCCAAAGGGAGGAACTGGAGAGCTTCAGCTCTGAGCTTAAATCTCAGAGTTTTCACAAAAACCTGAAAACCTAAACCTGTTTTTCTGTGTGTTGCTGCTGTTCTCAGAGTTCACGGTTCAGCTCAAACAGAAATCAGTTACAGATTTCATCACTAATGCCCTCCAGCTCTACTCCAGTTTAAAGAGCTGTTGCAGAAAGCTTCAGACTTTTTCACCTACACCTGTCTTTCTGTGTTCCAGTGGGACCTGGTCTGTTCCAATTCCAGCCTCAACAACCTCGGCTCGTCCGTCTACATGTTTGGACTCCTCGTCGGCGCGGTTTTATTCGGTTACTTGGCTGATAAGTAAGTTGATAACCATTAAAATATTTCCTTGAAAACACTAGGTCATCCTCGATGAGTGGTATTCCCCCTTTATGTATTGCTTTCTAGAACAGTTTTTGTCTTTTTGTGTTTGTCAGATATGGCCGCCGAATCATCATCCTCATTTCCCTGGCTATTCAAGCGACCTTTGGCGTGGCCGCTGCTTTCGCTCCCAATTTCTACGTCTACACAGCCCTTCGCTTCATGGTGGGAACGTCCATCTCCGGTATTATCATGAACGCCTTTGTTTTGGGTCAGTATTCTGCAGAACCTCAGCTTGTTGGCTGGTTGATCCAGTCAGGATCACAGGAGTTTGGTTCACATCTCCAGTAATCAGTGAGCGAGAGGTGGGTTCACCCTGGACAGGTCAATTAAACTCTCTCGCATGTTTGTGGACTTTGGGAGGAACTATGAATGCATAGAAGGATCCATGTGGAAAGAACCTGTTCAGGATTCAGGCTCTTCTTGATGAGTGCACCCACTTAAAAACCCAACCTCAGAATTAAAAAAATGTGGTGTGTATTGTTGACAATCTTCAGAGCTGATGTGTGGCCCATTGGAGAGGAAAGTTTTATCCTTTCCCTCTTTCTAGAAGCCTACAAGGTTAACCCACAATAAGATGTTCCAGAACTCTACTGATTCTTCCTACGTACATCATAGATAACTACAGATACCAAGCAACGCAATCAGTGTTCCAAACTAATGCTATTCTAAACCAATACAGAACAAATTGTTCCTCTTTATATCAATGCTGTAGCATAGTAACCTCCAGAGAAATGTTCTATAACAGCAAAAATACTTTAATTTAATACTTTAATACTTTTAATACTTTAACAATTGTAGATGGTTATAAAGACTAAAATTGCTGATCTAATGTTGTCGGCCATGAAGTAGTAACTCAACCATGAATCCATGACCTTTCGGGTCACGGTCTCAGGGCCTTTGTGTGTGTCTGGCACTGGGGTGTTTGTTTTGGACTGTCTAGGTGCTGTGGGGTGTAGACTGGGGCCCCAGGGGTCAGACTGAACCTCAACAGGTTTATTAGTGAGGTCAATGGGTTGGTCTCTGTCAAAAATACCAGAACCAAGAGTTTGACAAGGGGTATGTTGGAAAATTAGCTAGCTGTCATTCTGTAGGTAACGGTTTCTCAGTTCTGGTCCTCGGGAGCCACTGCCATGAAACTTTTAGGTGTTTCCCTTCTGCCACACACCTGACCTGAATAAGGGTGATTTAGGGAGTATTCACACGTACATTGTTTAGTTCGTTTTAATCAAACTCCAGTTCCTTTGCCTCGAAAGTCCGGTTCGTGTGGGGCTAGGTGTGAGAGTTCAATCAAAATATGATGCAGACCAATAAAGCAAAGTCTTGTCCGCCTATAAAGCTGTTTCCTGATTTGGTTGAAGTGAACTCTGGTGCTGTTCGAATAAATATGGGAAACACCAAGCGGACTGGAGACTGCTTTAAAAGCAGGAAGTGGACTACAACGCTGGGCATTCTGGGTAAATACAACCGAAACAAACACGAGAAACTAGCACTAGCAGGAGAAGTGGCTTTTTTTCTTCTTTTTTTTTTTGCCAAAATACAAAATAAAAAATGCTAATCGCTAAAATATGATGCCACTCCATTGTGTTTACATTTCATAAAGAAGGAAGTTGTGCTCTGTGTCGTTGTCTAAAGTCAGTCAGAAAATGTCGTTCCTTCAGTGGTTCTTGATACAGCGCCCCCACAGTTGAGGGTGGGGAACTAGTTTTTCAAAGGGTTTGGATCATTTGACACAGTGCATTATGAAAGCAAAGTGCACTACCTGAAAATGTGACACATGTCAACCGAACCAAGTCCACCGGACTACCAGGTATTAAAACACCCTGACACCTGCAGAAGAAGTCATGCCGTCATTTAAATCAGGTGTTCTGGAGCAGAGACACATCCAGAACACACAGAGCAGTTCTCCCTGATGACCAGAACTGAGAAAGGGGAAGGTTCAGAGGTCAGCGTGTGCTTCGCAGGGTGCTAATCAGTCCCTTCCTCTCAGGTACTGAATGGACGGGCCTGAGACAGCGCATGCTGGCCGGGATAATCACAGACTACTTCTTCGGATTTGGGTACATCCTCCTGGCCGGGGTGGCGTACCTCATAAGGGACTGGCGCAAGCTGCAGCTGGCTATATCTGCACCTGGCTTCCTCTTCATCGTCTACATTTGGTGAGTGGGCTGCAGTCTGAACAAGCATAGAAAATAGAAAAACAAAAGCTGATTGTCTGACTTGTTTTCTGCTTGTGAATTATGGCGATTCATTCTCTGTCTACAAGGCATTCCTCAGACCAAAGGAAAATGTGCTGACCTTCTTTGAGGTTGCCTCGCATGCCTCTTGCCATGCAAGTTATTTATGATTCTCATTTATATTTGACATATGCAAAAACACACACACACAGAAAGAGAGAGAGAGGGAGAGAGAGATAAATAAATAAACGGAGTAATGGCTTCATTCCAGTGAAGTGGGAGTTTCTGGAACAAGTCAGTCATAAAATGCCCCAAAGGACTTTGAGGCGATGTTTAAGATAAATGTTTGACATAGAGTGTTTTTCCTTCCAGGGTTTTGCCGAAGTCGGCCCGCTGGTTGATGGCCAATGACAGGAAGGAGGAAGCATGGGACGTGATCCTGAAGGCAGCCGAGATGAATGGGAAGCCCATCAGTAAGGAGATGGAGATGTGTCAGGTAGTAATTCTTCCTTCCACGAGAGTCACAATTAATTTTATGTTGACAGAATGCTGACATAAAATGTGTCACAACATGCGCTGAGAAATTACCAACCGTCGCCAAGTTCCACCTTTTTTTGTTAGAAGCTGTCAGTATCTGACTTTTAATTTAATGGAATAATAATCCTCTTTTCTTTTTTTATTTCGTTTTTGGACTGGAAATGTTTCTATTAAAGTTGCAATAGGTAACTTTTATTAAAAAAATTTGTCATATTTGGTAAAGCTGTCACCTTGTTGTGGCAGTATAATATGAGACAGATAATTTATGAAAAGATTGATCGATCCCCTCTGCCTTCTCACTGTGGTCCTACTGCCATCTACAGAAATACACCAGCAAGGTAACACTTTATTTGAAGGGGGTTGAATAAGACTGACATGACACCTGTCATGAACATGAATTAGCCTTCATGAATATTTATGACTGTTGTCATAAAGTGTTATTTGGTAAATTATGACACTTTTAATACAAAGTTGACATTATTCAAAATGTCTTTGTTATGACAACTTGACATTAACCAGGAAATCATTACTGTTTAAACTTTACCTTTAATAACATAAAGTTACCTAATTTTTAAAGCACAATCAGTAATACTTTTATAACAAATTTATATCAGTAATGATTTCTTGGTTAATGTCAAGTTGTCATAACAAAGACATTTTGAATAATGTCAGCTTTGTATTAAAAGTGTCATAATTTACCGAATGATGAAATATTCATGAAGGCTTATTCATGTTCATGACAGGTGTTATGTCATGTTTATGACAGTGTCATGTCAGTCTTATTCAACCCCCTTCAAATAAAGTGTTACCCCAATCAGTCAGAAATAACCAATCAGAGCTGGGAGGCAGGTCTTAGCGAAGTTAATTCAGTTTGTGTATGCAAATTGGCCTGTTTGCTGCAGGTGTGCTGATGATGGAGAAACAACTTAACGTTTTAAGGTAGCTGTTCATCCACCGTTATTGGTGGCCATGCTAATTAGCCTGACCATTCACTCAACAGAAAACATGTGGTAGGGTGTGAGCAGTGTCTACATGAGAATGATTGACAGTGTTAAGACCCTTCTCCTGGCTCTGATTGGTTGTTTCTGACTGTAAGTAGTGTATTTCTGCAGATGGCAGCAGGACCACAGGGAGAAGGCAGAGGAACTCAGGCTTTTCACAGATTCATATTCTCATATTACATACTGATAGTTTTAACAAATATGTAAAAAAAAATATATTGTTATAAAACCTACTGCAGCTTTAATAAATAATCAGTAATGAACAAAATTCCAAAAGGTACCATGCTCAAAAAGGTTTCACATTAGCTTGTTGCTGATTTCTTCCATGTTTTTGGTTCTGAATGATTTCATGTACAAATACTCCGACCGCTACAAATGGCACTACAACCACAAACCTCAATGTGAATTATTGGGATTTTATGTGACAAACCCACTCAAAGTCGTGCATAATTTTGACCTTCAACATTCAGTCAAAGTAGGATAGAAATGGCCAGTCAAAGTCCAGATCTAAATCCAAATGAGAATTTTTTTGCCAATAGTTAAAAGCTGATTCTAACAGACATTCTCCATCCAATTTGAGCAAAATTGGATCATTTCAGTCTCTAGATGTACAAAGCTATTTGGAGATTACAAGTGAACACCACTTGTCTGATTTCTATATGTGATACTATAAGTTTTTGAAAATCACGCAGCGCTTTTCTTTCACTGTACAATTCTGCACTAGTTTGTTTTGGTCAATGAAATTAGATCCCAGTAGATTACATTGTTGTTTGTTGTAAAACAACAATGCGAAAAGATTCAAGGGGTGTCGCGATGCATTTAAGTAATATTGAGGACATTTTAATCATTCCACAAATTAAAAACAATACAATTGGCGGCATGTTTTTAATCCAAGGAGGAAGTTTTTCTTCCCTTTGTGGTTTCAGATTGTGTAACTCTATAATCCACACTGTTGACTGAGCACTCCCTCACTCATGTGATGTATGTATTAGCTTCCTTCTTTGCAAATGTATCAGTCATGGGACATCAGCAGATCAGACTGAACTGCAGGATGTCAAACCAACAAGAGGAGCAGAGAGAGACACAACCCACCTGCATGTTTCCTCTCTTAAAGCCACATGTAGCAATCAAGTGATTCATCATAAAGGCAGAGCAACATATGATGTCATCTCAACTCTCACTGCTTCGATAAATGAAAACATACAGCAGAAGTAAATGGCACAAAGGCATAGTGTAGATCCACATTCCCTTTAAAGCTGCTGCTTCAAATGGCCAGAGATGACTTTGGTTTGTTGGACTGAACAACTAGTGGCTAATGGCAGCAGGTTGGTGATCAGCTGCCAATGTTAGCCTTAGCTCAAAATAGCAGCTAGTGTTTTTGATCCAGAAGGGAAGGATACGGGAGCTGTAAACAAAGTTTTCTTTTCATAAATCCCGTCACCAAGCTTATATGTTTGCAGAGAGAAGACTATCAGGGTTATTTTCACTGCAGGAGCTGACAGTGACGGCTCATGCAGTTTAGCAAAATTGGGAAAGCTCTCAAGTCCCCCGCTTTCACTTCACATTTTAGACATGATTCAGCAATGACACCTGGTTCATTTTTTTCCCTGGAACTGTCAGTGACCCCGGAGGGTTTTTTCTGAGCATTTCCTCTGTGAAGTCCAAACGGAGTCATTGACTCTCAGCAGTAATGCTTCCCACTGCAGCCACCTCCGTCTAGGTCTTGTTTAGTGATTAAAGTATTATGTATTTTCCAGCCACATAATGGCATTTTATAGGACAGTCAAGTAACTATGTGACTTTCAGTTTTTACATAAATGCTGTATATATGAAATATGATTTAAAAGAAATTTGACTTTGTAATTTAACACTTTGAAATTGGTTCTCTTTCTCTTTAAAAACTCATGCTCTTCCTGAAACTCCGCCTTCAGGAAGTCATCACATGTCTCCTTTATTAACCCTTTAACAACGTTTTTACCAGTGCTGCACGAAGAAGTAGCTCCTATGATGAGCTCAGCTGATGCACAGCTCCACCAGGTATTTGCTAATTGCTGCTGGCTTGTCTGAAGAAGCTGAGTGGAGAATTGCTGCTCTGTGCTTAGAAACTGCAACTCAGAGGCTGCATTTTGAAGGCGGAGCTAGGTCCACTCAGGCATTTTTGTACACCTGAATGGTTGCCATGGAGATTAAAGGATTTCTCAAACATGTTTGAAAGAATCACAGAAATACTCCAGGTACATTTTGATGAGGGAATAACATTGTAACATGATGCAAAGCCTGCCCCTTTAAGAGTAGAAGATAAAGTCCAGTTGAAAATTAAAATGCATAATTTCACAATAAAACTATTGATTCTATCACAGAACCAATTTTCAATTCACTGCAAACTCCATAGAAAGGTGCAACTGTAAAAAAAGTGTTCTAAAAGATGCTGATGAGAGTAAAAATTCAGAGGTGGGAGAAAAGAGAGAGAGTATTTCAGGATGACACTTTACACCTGACAACTTACTATCCTGGAGTTATCAGAGTTTAGTGTGAATAGTCAGAAAGGTGTCCTTCGGGTGATGGTTAGCCTCCCTTCCTCTCCTTTCCTCTTTTTTTTAGCTTGGCCAAATGTTTGCCGTGGCGTTTTCTCAGCAGAACCAATCATTCTCCTCCTTACACAAACCAAAATGAATTCAGGTAGGTTCTTTTCCACTGAATAGATTCCAGAGTCACACGGGCGAACTTTCTCTGCCAGAGGGGGCGCTGCTGTTATCCTAAACATCTCTGACTTCATTCTGATAGCACATTTATTTCAAGTCAAATATCTGCTCCAAATTAATCCACCTCCAGATTGGTCCATAAACTAAATCCAGCATGTATTTTTATGCCTCAACTCGGTTTCTCTGTGATTTATGAGCAAGGCTGCATGACTATGAGATCAATTCCGCCAGTTTGCCTGTGACCAGCAGTGCCTGATCATCTCCAGTCTAGAGACACACACGCGCACACACACACACACAGGTGTCTGGATCTGGTTCTGCTCAGGTTACATTCCCAGTCCAGACTCTGTGCATTCACTCAGCAGGGCTTCAGAGTGGAAGCTCATGAAATGAGGTAGATCCATTAGAGAAGATGACCTAAATAAACTAACAAACATAAATCAGCAGCATACGCTTGACGGTGTTGCTGTGGCGACGGCTCGCTCACTGTACGGCGCTGCTACTGCACACTGCAGTGGCTTCTGTTCTGACTTTGAATAAATTCGTTTGATAACAGGCTCTCGTTTGAACATGCAAACCATTCAGAGAGCTGGATGTTTCAGTCACCCCCCGTTTCTCTTTTCACCAGGTTTATCAGACTGAGGAGAAAAGCGAGCTGAAGAAAAATCGCTCCCTGGTTGACCTTGTTCGAACCCCGACAATGAGGAAGCAGTCCCTGATTGTCTTTTATCTTTGGTGAGTACTCGCAGAACTCTACCTCTTTATCTCCTTTATAGAAGGATTTATCTGAAACAGCCTTGGTCTTTGCATCCAAACCAAACCAGACAAGGTCGGGTCATGACCAAGGTCAAGCCGTCTTACTAGAGGACCTTTTAGATTGTCTTAAATTCATTGACGTGTAAGGAGTTCATTCTTGGTTGTGTTGAAATCAGAAACAATAGAAAACCATACTGAAAATAATATTACTGAGTTTAATAGAGAGAGAACGTCAGAGACCCCAGAGGGACCTGGGGGAATTTTTTTCCTTTTGTGTTTCATGTCAGTTTTTGCTACTGAAAGTACTGAAAGTTTTTCTGTTATAATAAAAGTTTTTTGTAAGGTTTGTCCATGTATATTAATATCTCGTTTTTAAGATATAAGGATGCAAGCGCACTGCAACTGATGTACAAAATGTGAGAGAAAATCTGGTCAAACATGTTTTACATCCCTTCTCTGAGACATGAAGACGAAAGGAAGGAAGGAAGGAAGGAAGGAAGGAAGGAAGGAAAGAAAGAAAGAAAGAAAGAAAGAAAGAAAGAAAGAAAGAAAGAAAGAAAGAAAGAAAGAAAGACTACATCCAAAGTATTTGGAGTATTTAGAGTTAGTGACAGTTTTGCTCATGTTTTCTTCTTACTGGCAGTCTGACTTGTTTTCATGTGTAGTTCCATCTCCACCTTACACAAACAAACATGAACTCAAAGTTAATGGATCAATTTTCAACCAATTTTCTGCACCAAGGAGTTTAAGAATATGTACTAATATATACTGAGGCCCTTTAAATATGTCTAATTCAAAATAAACTTTTATTGTGACTGTGACTGTAAGCAAAATACTTGCTAATTTATTGTAAAGGAATTCAATACTTTAGCGAGATATCGTAACAGGAAAAAAGAATTCCCACATGCCTTCCGGGGGGAGGTGTGGAAAACGGACTGCTTTGAACACTTTTCCACAGATACCGGATATTAGCTTCCAGTTGTAGACCACTGTGAAGTTTGGTTATAAACCAAAAAATGTTATATTTTTCTGCCCTGTTGTTGCACTTTATAAAAAAGACAGCAATATAATCTTGAATGAGTCCCTCCATCACATGTTTCTGTCAGATGAGTAGAAAGTAACTCACTTACTGTTGAATATTTGCTTTAGTGGTTTTCCATAAAAGCTTTGCATGGCGAGTATTAGTTGGAGGTTATAGCCTGCAGTATGGATTACAATATACATTTTCATCTGTGCAGGAAATTCTATCAGGGAACTTCTTGTCTTACCCTGTTTACAGCAGGAATGTGTTCTCAAGTTGTGAAATGCTCAGAATGCTAATCCAGGAGTCTGCATGTTGGAGCAGCATTTCTGGTTTGTTGCAGGTGTAAACTGAGAGCAAATAGCTCCATCAGGTTTAACTGTATTAAAAAAAATAAAAATCAGAACGCCAGCAGACCACATATCCCACCTCTCTGCTGCTGCTCTCTGTCTATATGGATGGAAAGTTTCTCTTTTCATTCTGATTCCAAGAAAGCAAACTTAGTTACTTGAAATAAAAAGTCTCACCATGGAGGAAAGAAGCATTCCTATGTGATCATTCATTTTCTTTTGAAAAATCGTTAAAAACAAAAAAAAACTGGTTCTGCCAGTGTGTGTAAAGTTGTTTCCCAGTCCTGACTTCTTCCTGGACTGACACAGACCTGTTGATATTTTTCTCTTTAGTGTTGAGATCTTTAACAAGTCCAAGCAGATAAATATTCCATGAAATAAATATATGTATCCATTAAATAAAACAAAATAAATATTTTCAAATAGAATTTTTTTTACCTTATTTTGAAATGTATTTGTTTCCATATATTTATTTATTTGTGAATTATTCATTTCATAATGGTGTTTTATTTCGTGACTTTTTTTGTTAAACTACTTTCCATATTTAATGGACTTTTATTTTTTAGCTTTGTTGATGAAATATTTCTGAATAATTAATAACTGTATTTGTCTAATTGTTTAATTTTGATTGAAGCGCCTCTCCATGTCAGAGGCCTTACCTAAAGAGGGAAACATCTTGTGATTGGCTTCCTTCCTTCCTTCCTGGCTGCGTTGTGGAGCAGATGCTAACTCTGTTGCCTAGCAGCAGAATGCTCCAGTCTGCATTTAATTTGCATGTTTTCTCTGGGTACTCCAGCTTCCTCCCAGAGCTCAGAAACATGGCCGTTTGGACCCCAGTGGTCACAGAACAGAACCAGTCTCTCATGTCAAATCTGCTCTGACTTTAACACTCATACCAAAAACGTTTCCTCTGTATGTGGAAAGTGATCCAGCAATGGTTTTCAGGTATACTCTAGTATTATAATTAGCAGCATTATTATAACTAGGAGCCTAGAAGAAGAATGAATGAATGGATAAGCTGATGGATCTGACAGGCTTTAGAGCGCTGTGCCACGGTGTGCTACGTGATCAGAGCAGAGTGATTTCTATCTAACTGGGTTACATATTTTCTCCCTCCATCCTGCCTCTATGCTCTAAGCTAACAAGTCCTCCATTCACTGGATGGCAAACAGTTTTGTAACTCGATGCTGATAATAGCAGGGTGCCAAGTGAAAGCAATAACTGTCATAGAAATAATTTGATTCGTGAAATATGGTTGCAGGATGACACATTAAATATTTCACAAGACAGGGGTCTGAATATTCTTTTGCTGTGTGATCTGTATTTGCTTTCTTGGGTTGTTCTGAGGAAGCAGAATATTTATTTGTGACGGTAAAAAGCAGCGATGCTGTGATACTTTTTGCCTCTTATAATTTTTTCTTGTTCCGTCTGCATGCAGCGTATTCAGCGAACAGGAATGTTCCACCACCAGCAGGATGTTTTTCTGCTTACCGAACAACTTCTTGGTTTTACACACAAATTCTTGGTTTTTACAGGCGTGGTTTCTAACTAACCAGACTCTAATACAGTAATTGTATTAATAAGTAATAAAGCAGACAGGAATAAATTATAAATGATGGAACGTTCATATTTGACCTTGCATTGGAAGCTTTCTTCTGGATGTGAATTCATTTTTCAGTCTTTTCTGCATTTTAAAATTTCCAAGCCAAACAGCAGGCGTTTTCTGGCTCCGCTATGAAAAAGAGAGGGAAGCTCTTGGAATTTTATGACCTTCCAACATTCCTCTCAGCCTGGAAGCGTCTCCCATCTACTCGCTTTTTCCCCCAACTGGGTCAGGTTCTGGGCCGCTGCAGGAAAATCAACAAATTCAGTGCAAAAGAGCAGAAGCAAAACAAGTCAAAGTGACAGAACCGGCAGAGAGAGTAGAGCACAGAAAGAATATTCCCTTCTTTTGAGTTTCTTTTATAATCTTTATTCATTTTTAGTTTTTGCTTCACATTTCTCTAAAAAACACATGGAAAGTTTGCAGAGTTATAGTCATTTCTAATCATCTAGAAGCTACTTTTGTCACATTTTGTAACATCACAACAAACCTCAAATATCATCACCTTCCTAGGGTAAATGGCACAAACCATTTTTTGCCACCTTTCCAAAAGATGTTTTTAGATAAAAAAATAAAAATAAAAAAAAACACTTTTGGCAAAAATGACTTAAGCCATTACTTTAGGAAGTTGACAATGTGCTCTACTGAAATGTTCTTTGCTGACATTCTGTGTTATTTTGCCTCATAAAACATGGAAACTTTCGTTTATGTCAAGACTACATGAGACAAAAAGTTCATTGGGTGTGAATACAGTTCTGTTTGCCATAGACTGGTTCTTTACTGGTTGCATGGACCCCATGACCCCCGGCCCCACTGCAACATACAAACTGAAACTTCATCCCAAATTACTCTCAACACTCATTGAAGCATGTCTTAGTCAGCAGTAGATCAGACAGAACCGAGCACACTTTATTTATTCTGAAAACCAGCCCTGATCTTTAACAGGTATGAGATTCTCACTGGATGACAACTGTGGCTAAAAATAATATTTTAACATATTATATAAAGAAATTCACACAAACATCAAACTACTTCCTTTTGCTCCTGCTGCCCCTGCAAACGTGACATAGAGTTTTACAGTAAGAAAGAATTAAAAATGTTATCTTTGATATATATTGTTATTTTTGATCTTGAGCAAAGATTTAGGCAAAAGTATAGAAATATTCCCTGTTGATTATAGTGATTATTTCCCGGAGCGAAGGCTAATTTAAATCGAAGTTTAGACTGAAGTAATTTTAGATATATATCAGACACAAATCCAGACATCAGCCCTTATTTAAAGGAACCAACTGTTTGTGTATATCTCAGGTTTTCAGGGAGTTTGTTCCAGTGCTGAGGAGCAGAGAAACTAAATGCTGCCTGGCTTTGTTTAGATCTGGTTCTAGAAACTCTGAAGAGCTGAGGCATCAACATGGTTCATATATAATTTATTTTTCTGGTGTTGCTCAGGATTCAGCACTGCTTCTTCTGTGTCTTGTTTTTGTCAGGAAACCAGTTTTATTCTGGCAATGTTTAGAGGAAGACATCTGATGTAGAAACAGACCTTAAGTGGCTGTACGAATTTCAAGTTCCCAACAACACCAAGGTTTCTTGACCTCCCCATATTTCTGTCAGTTCCTTTAACCAATTAGCTAGCTAGCTATTAGCTGGTTGAGCTATCTGAGTTTTGTGTTCTGCCTGCTGGGAGATTTTTAATAGAAAATGCACCTTGTAACTGTACAACTTCAGTAAGCGACAAGTGGAGGTCTCTTAGCTTCCACACCATGAGCGAATGTTTGTTTAGGCAAATTCATCTGCCTTGTAAGCTCAGGGGAACAACAAGGAGCCATCGTTAGGGCTAATCGGGAGCACTGTATTATTCTTTGCAGCCTGAGAAATTATCAACGCTCTCATTAAAAGAAATGTTACATTACTGAAATAATATCATGGAAAGTTGAAATGCTCTTGGTGCAAAAACAAGCAGGTCTACTTCATATCCAGTGACCTCCAGTCCAACTCATATAATTCCATCCAATATCACTTTCATGGACAGTGAAAGTTGGAACAGTCAGCCAGGATAATGTTTGGTAAGACAAACTATATGCTCTGTGCAATCCACTGGATGCTCTGTGGCACCACTTCATATGTCTAACTCTAATTCTGAGTACTTATGGTAATGTAAACAGAAGTCTCAACCTGCCAGACCAGTTCTCACAAGGCTTCAGAAAGAACCAGTTTCCCAGGAGAATACAGCTTGTAAGCCGAAGCTTCTTACTGTAGACTTTTTAGGTGTTCACAAGTGAACCAGACTTCATGCCTGGCGTCCCATCCAGTTAGCTGAGATCTGGATTATTGTATCATTTTCCTCGCAGCCTGTTCCTTTGCCTCTCTGCCAAGTCAAATGGAGTCTGCGTGAAACACTCATCAGAGCAGCAGGTGGGAAGTGATGGGGTCACAAACACTTTCCTGTGACCTGCATTCTGCCCTTACACAGATGACACGTTCAGATTGGCATAATTCTTTGCATATAATTCAGTACAAACCCAAAACACAAACTTGTGCTTCTAGATGACTTTAAAAAAATAAAAATAAAAATAATAATAATAATAATAATAATAATAATAATAACAATAATAATAATAATAATAATAATAATAATAATAATAATAATAATAATAAACTCCTGCAAAAAAATTTATTTTCACTGAGTGGAATGCTCCCATCCCAAGGTTTGGGTGTGCTTTGAAACATCCCTTTGTTCAGCTGTTAAATAGGAGCTCTGAGCTGCAGAGAGATCTTCTTTACCCAGTAGGCTCTAAATAAAATCGGTCTAAGTGTAACTCTGTCACATTTAGTGTTTCTAAATGTTGCTAAATGTGACACAAAATGTGCCACATTTAGCAATAATTGGTGCCAGAACATTTAGTGCCAGCAAGCCTGGGAGTCTCTCTCCCATGCCCACAGCAGCTTAGTTACCTGTTGCTGCAAAAATGACTAGTGCATAATCAGGCGGGTTGCTGTTCTCTGAACTGCAAAACTCATATTTGCATACCATGTAGAGAAATTAGTCAACTAAAAATAACATTCAGGTTTAGCTGAGTTATAATGTACTACATTATTCTCTGTGATAATATCACAGAATATGCTGCCCAAAAATAAAAAGAGCAAGAACTGCTTTTGGAAACACAGCAGTTTGAATGAAACCTGAATGAAAAGAGAAAAGTAGCTTCAGTTTCAGAACACGGCTCTGAATTTGGATTCTGTGATCTGAATGTGACAGTCATTCATCTGGCAGAGTGAGCTTCAACTGATATTGGATCACTATTGTTCTGACACTATGAAATGTCTTTAATAGAAAGTGTGACAGATAATTTTACACTGCTTACCTTCAAAATTACAACAGTATCAAGAAAAATGAGCAAAATTTTGTGTAATATGCCTTTTTTATATTTGATTTGCATTAAAACTTTTCCTCCTCTACGTTATGAAGGGGAACGAAACAGCAAAATGACCAAAGCAGTAGCTGACTAAACCACTGTTTATGAAAGCCACACAAAAAAACCTTATAAAATGCGCTTATGAAAGTTCTTACATGTAGGGTTTCATAATTCCCCTCTCTGTCGCCATCCTGTGGTCATATTAGGAATGACATTTTGAATAAAATGCAGGGCTATTAGGAAAACACGTCCCCCCCTCTCCCCTCCCCAACAAAAAACCCCGCTGTTAGGAAATGACAAGAGAATAAATAAGGTTTTTTTTAAACCCATTTGCCCAGAGAAGCAAAGACAAGGCCTACCAACAGAACGATCCTGATCCAATCACATGCGGCGCTGGTTCTCCCGGCAGTTCTATTCAAAAACACTGCTATCGTGAGAAGTGGAATCAAACATTTTCCAAGAGAAATATCGTCTAACAATCTATAAATAATTCAATCACAATGACTGTGTGATGTTTTAGATGAACACTCAGGAAACTCCAATAATCCTTAGCAACATTAAGTACTGATCAGGTCCAGAAGACGCTGGAAAATTACATAAGATTTGAAATATTCTGAACTGGCTGGTAAAACAACCTCTTAAAATTTTCCAATAGCTCTTAGTTAGACCACAGAAACATAAAACAGAGCAAGAGACATGAAATCAACAAACACTTGCTTAACCGCCAGAACCTAAGCACAGGACTTTATGTCATGTTGGAACAGTCTCCATCTAGAATGATGCCATGCACTAATGTGTGTCTTTCTTTTTGTTGGACACAAAGAAGCGTAAAACATCATCCTTCATGTTCCAGGTTTGTCAACGTCCTGGTGTACTACGGCTTGTCCCTCAACATTTCCGACTTCGGAATGAACATCTACCTGACCCAGATGATCTTTGGCCTGGTGGAGATGCCTGCACGCACCATCACACTGTTCACCCTCAACCGCTCACGCAAGTTCTCTCAGCTGGCTTTCCTAGCAGTGGGAGGTTCTGCCTGCCTGCTGACCACCTGCATCCCCAGCGGTATGTAGATACAGTGCAAACAGTCTCTACTTAATCTGTTTAGCCGAATAAAAAATAGGCAAGTCCTTTTAAGCACTGTTTTTGAGAGGTGACAACTTGTTGTCATTTTTTTTCTTCAGACCTGCCCGTTGTCCGAACGGTCCTGGCCATGATTGGGAAGTTTGGGATTACAGCCTCTCTGTCTATCATTTATGTCTACTCAGCTGAAATATTTCCAACAGTGATCAGGTGGGTGTTGCCCTGCAGTGCATTTCTGTGTGTTGTTTGGTGAAATAAGATCCTAAAACCCTTTGCTCAGCTTACTTAATCTGTTTTAACAATGCCGTCCAGGATTTACGTTGAAACACGGCCAGTTGCCGGTGTGTTGTAAGAGAAACTGGATGCTCACACAGCCATTTGATCTGGTCCAGCCAGTCTTTACTTAATGGGAACTGTTTTGGAGAAGTTGAAATGAAAAATGTTTAAGGCAGCTCAGCTATGAGGTGTTTTTTGTCAAAACAAACATTTATCTAATGTCACCGTTAAATTTGATTGAGAGTCCAATAGTCTAACATCCTTTATATTACTATCAGGTAATACATGAAAGTGATGTGTTTAGTAATTCTGTTCATCAGCACACTGGAAGAAAACCAAACACATAAAAGCATAAACATTTAGTATCAGCTATACAGCATGATGGTGGAGGAGTCATGATGTGGGCATGTGGTTTTTATCTGACTATTTAAGGCAGTAACGTGTGTCCAGTTTTTTATTTCCTGCAAATGTTAGTTAAAATTTATTCACATTACATCTTCCTTGTCAAGGGAATCTTTCAGCCGTAGTGCTGTCTTACCTCAGTGTCGACATACCAGGGGTCTACAGGGGCCCCAGGAAAAACTAGCCAAATGCAAACACCACTGATACTGAAGAAAGATCAGTTAAAGTAGAGTCAATATTTCCCAGGGTTCCCTGTGAGGGGATGGGACATTACAGCTGAACTTTTAAGGTGCATTCAGGGACGACTCGGACTTTGCATTGTATATAAAACAACTCAAAAGTGCTGTAAGCTACTGTTGCACAATATATCAGCACTAACATTAGTATCGGCCAATATCAGTCATTTTTTTTATATATTTGTACCGGTTGGATAAATAAACTGGGTCAATATTAACAACTGATATTTATTTCCAATGTTGTCATTTGTTTGTGGAAGGGGAGAGAAAGAGGTTGGTCATGTGACAGTGATGCAGCAAAGGATTGTGGGGAGTTTAGCCTAAGCAGGAACAGTGGTGAGATCAATGGTGTTGAAAGGGTAATGAAATAGATATAATGTCGGTAAATATTGCTTATTGGCCTTAATCGCAATATTAATATTGGATCAGTGCATCCCTTATGTTCTGATATTTGTTATTCTCAAATATCAGAACAGTTTTATTCAAACATTCCTAAATAATAATCTTGACCATTTTCAGTTTGCTCTATTGCATAACTTATTCAGGCGACGACTTAATAAATAAGAAAAATCTAAACAAATTTGCAGTTTATTATTATCCACTGATTTAACATTTAAATATTTTGATTCAACATTTGATTCAACATTTAAAAACAAACTGAAAGTCAGACTATTTTAACAAGTTTAGTTTTTTTTTATTTGTTCACTGCTGTAGACTGTAGAATCAAGATTATTAATTGTTGTTTTTTGTTTCTTGTATTGCTGTGTATCAAAAAGTTATTAAACCATGACCGTACACCTCTGTTATATACACTGACAACGACTCTTCCATTCAGCTCACTTCTATTTTGAGGCAAATTCCTGATGACTGCCTACGTTTTCCATATGCTAATGAAGTTCCTTTGTGAACAGCCTGTGTAACTGGACTGTCTGCTTCCTCACTGCTCCGATCTACAGGCAAAACGGGATTGGTATAGGCTCCATGTGTGCGCGGATCGGCGGTGTCCTGGCTCCAATGATGTACCTTCTGAGAAACATCAATCCTCATGCTCCCATGATTCTCTCTGGCCTGTGCCCGCTGCTGGGCGCTGGGTTGACCCTACTGCTGCCTGAGACGGCCAACAAGCCTCTACCCGACACAATCGAGGACGTCGAGGGAGAAAGCCTCAGGTCTGACTTCATAGGTTTTACTCTTCTGTTCAGGTGATGTGGGATTAAAACTAGGTCACGTGTGCAAAACATATAGATATAGAATTTTTTGTATAGTGTTGTCTTCCTTATCACTCTGAGTTAATTGTTCTTTGAGCAAATGGCCTTTTTGAGTCTAAATACTCCAGTTAATGATCAACTAATTGCTAAATTAATTGAGGATTATTTCAAAGATTGATTCATCACAATTCATCCGACTAATCATTTCAGTCCCACTTGCTATTGGACTTTTACATAGAAGCAATAAAGTATTTTTAAGTGAGTTATTTTGACAAAATGTGTAAAAGTTAGAGTTCTGAATTACCTTCACACGGCGCTGCATGTGATCAAATAAAAATAGTAGCAGAAAAAAGTAGCAAAGTTTTGCTCCAAAGGTCTGATGTACAAAACCTCTTTTTTTCCCCCCTCCTTTCATTAGTGATGAGGAGGAAGGTGTGACGGCAGCCATCTTTGATCCAAGGAATGTTACCATGGACACCCCCAGGAAGGATTAGTTTCCCAGCACTGGCTGACATGTCATGTGGCATTTAGTATTTTTCAGTTTACGTTTTTTGAGACATAAGTCTTTACTTCCAGTGGAAGTTTCAGTTAGACTTTGTGATTATGGGTCTTTACAAGCTACCCAAACTCTTTAAATAATGGTATGTGTGAAAGTGTTTTTATTCCTTCTTGATCATTTTTGTATGTTTTTTTTTTTAATGGAATAATTTCTCTTGTTCCAGTGTGGTAAATTTAGTGTCATTCTGGTAAAGATGTATAACATTCTTATAATAAATTATTCCAGTGCAGCAGCATATCATCACAGAAGAATGTAGAAAACTCAAATCTCTAATGTAATGTGTGTTTAGTAGGTCTGAAAGTAAATTCTCGGAGGAATAATTGTTTTTACAATTTCCTCAGACAATTTTTGGACGACCCCGTTGAAGTTTGATGCTGGAAGCCACCAGTTTAGTTTGAAACCGCCTGGTTCATGATGCCTGTCTAGCAAAAGTTCTCAGTGCCTCGAAACAAAAACATGAGCCCACAGCAACACAGAGCCTTCACCGTACTTGTTACTAAAAGCAGATCTGATTAAATTCTCAGCAAACTCTACATGTTTACATTTGTGATGGTAAGACAGGAAGGTTTTTTTTCTTACATCTTTCCCAAACTAGTCTAATGGTTCCATGGAGCCAGAATGTCACGTTTTGCTGGCTCCTTGTTCTGCCTACTGGCTAAAAGAAATTGGCCTTTGCGTCGGATTATATTTTTCCCAAGAGAAATTGAAAATTATTAGAGTTCCTATAAACTCTGATTAATGTCGAAATGATTAAGGGTTGGGATTACAACATTGCTTTTATTTTATTTTTTTTTATTGTTTTTGAGGGTTTTTTTGTTGTTGTTGTTTTTAGAATTATCTGCACAGTTGATGGCAACAAAAAGGTCCTGGGTTGGAATCCTGACCAGCGGTCTTTCTGTGTGGAGTTTGCATGTTCTGCCCGTGCATGCATGGATTTGCTCCGGGTACTCCGACTTCCTCTCACAGTTCAAAAACATGACTGTCAGGTTAATTAGTCTCTCTAAATTGTTTTTAGGTGTGTGTGTGTTGCTGTTTGTCCTGTGTGTTTCTGTGTTGTCCAGTGAAGGACCAGCGATGTGTCTGGGTTTTTCCACGTCTCTCACCAAACCACCATTTGAAATATGTACCAATAACAAGAATGTAGAAAGTAGATGTTTGGAGAACCAATAATTTTGCCACTGCTAATTTTATTAAATATAACTATTCCTCATTATGGGATTTTTACCCCACTGAATTAATGCACTTATAACAGACTGTATTTTTCAGCATTTTTTTTTCTTTTTCTTTTTTTTGGTGAGATTATTCGGCTGCTACAAAAGATAATTTCATCTTTTTTTAACACAGCTTTACAAGGTAGGGCATTTTATTTGATAAAGTATTGTACTTTGTAAGAGTTTTATTTATCCATATGTGTACAACAAGTACTGCCTGATGATGAGTTGGTGGTGCCTGAAGCTACATGGAGAGCAGAGGCCATCCTGAGACACTTTCACCTCACAGCTCGGTTCTGGTTGTGTGAAAGCAAACGGTTTTTGTCTGACGGTATCAATCAGATGATATTTGTGCAATTTGATTTTCTTTTTTTTCTTTTCTTGCATTATTTTGTCTGAAGGTTATATGGTTAAAATAAAGGGACCCAGAGGCATTTTGTTCAGTATTGTTCTCCCAATTTGCTGTCAATAGTTTATCGGCGCCTTCCTCACTAATCATGGCTGTTAGCCTGTGAACAAAGCTGTCTCTGTGAAGAAACTTTTTTTCCCAGACTGTTGTGAAGGACTTTTTCCGGCTTGCTGGGAGTTCTAACCTTCAAAGCATTCAGCAGCTGTAGGACTTATCAGCCAGACTTTGTTTTTACTTTGTTTTGCCTCATCATGTAGTTTTGCTGAAGGGTTTGCTGCTACATTTGCAGACCTAAAGGCCAGCTGAGCTACGGCTGGCGCATTTCTGCTGCCTCCCATTGGCCCAGTTAAAGGCAGGTGGGAGTGGGAAGTGCCTCCATGTTTACAGTGGTAACTCGCAACAAAACATGTCTTTGAGGAAACTCTCTCTAGTGGATAGAGGGTGTCACCTCCTCTCTGTCAGCTCAACCAGTATCTGATATGTGAAAAACGTGCTTTATGTATCATCCATGCATCTATGAACGTTCACATTTTCACATTATTTTTCAGATTATGTTGTTGATACTGTATATTTTTACTGACTTTGTGAAATAAAGGTTGTCTGAGAGGATGCATGTATCACTGGGTATTTATGTGGAAATCCTTGGGATAATTTGAAATAGAATGTACTCCAGTCGTTTTAAAGCTTAGGCATGTAAAAAGTCCATTGTCATATATTTTGTCGGAACAAGACTTTATATAATCAGAAGCAACTGTTTTAAGACTACAAAATATTGACTTTGATAGATTCTAAAGGATTCTAAAAAAAATTGGTTCAGCATATAATACTGATGGATCCTTTGGATCTCTGTCAGACGGAGCTCAGCATCTTCCTACCACCATGCTTGATCAATGAGGTTCTTGGGACTGAACGAGTCTTCAATTTATTGCCAAATCAAGGTTCCATTAACATACCCAAATAAATTGTTTGGGTATGTTAGGTGTACAAATTTTTTGTGTGCCTTACTCAGAGAAGTGGTTTCCTCCTTGATCTGATTCCATGGTAACCAGCAGTTTGATGCATCTGCTGGACTGTGTGCATTAAGATGTTGCCATCAGCATGGCCTAATTCTTCAGGATGGCTTGGATCCTTTGACTCTTCATCGTCTCTCATGTCATCAGTCTTACATGTGTTACTTTTGGCTTCCTACCAAAAGCCACTTTTAGTGGTAGGAGTAAGTAGCCACGGTACAATTGTCCTTTGAACCGTGACCATGTAAACAACATGATATGCTCTTTACGTATAAAGTAAGTTGAATAGAATTTTTTTCTCTGATATTTTAACACACACCTATTGTATGTCATTTGCCATAAGGAGAAACTTGTTTGCCAAGATAAAATATCCCCAGGGATATGAATAATTTTGGGTTGATCTTTGACTTTACAGTTTTGTACCACTTTCTGTTGGTCTATCGGACAAAATCCCAAAGAAACCTGTAAAAAAAAGTCTATAGTTGCAACAAGATAAAATGAGAACACGGTCAAGAGGTATGAATATTTTTGCAAGGCACTGTAATTCCTCGACTCCCACAGAGTTTTTAGCAGACAGACCTTGGTATGAGACGGGAGTTGCTTACATGCTGGCAAGTAATCAATGGGAGGTGGTCTCTCTGCATCCAAGAGGGAACCGCTTTAGCTTCTGAGCCAGGGCAAGATGGCAAAGGCTAAATGTGTCTGTTGTCACTGAGACATCACACAGCAGCTGACACTGAGGCTCAGAGGGGCCACGGAGCAACAACACCACCCACTAGTGGGCTGTCAGTGCACTGCTGTCATAATTTATCCTGTTTAGTAAAATGTAAAAAGGATAACAGGTAGATTATTCAACAACTATTAACACACAATGGAGCCTGATGTGAATGCTCAGTTAGCTTTCCAGTAATGGTAAGTTATTACTTCACCATTAGCACAACTGCAGCAGAGACACAAGCTTGGTTGACAGCGCTAAGATCCTCCTCTTGGCTCTGATTAGTTGATTCTAACGGGAGCGGTGTATTTCTGCAGATGGCTGTAGGACCATAGAGAGGAGGCAGAGAAACTCTATTTTTTTCACAGATTATCTGTCTCAGAATGTACTCTCTCAACAAAGTAGCAATTTTTTGCAGGTATGGGGAAAAATACATATTGTTTATAAAAGTTACATAGCCTACTTCAGCTTTTATCTGAATAAATAATTACAATATTTCTTAAGTAAGTTTGAAAAAGCCTGAGTATTAAGGCGGCTGGCGGAGCATATTGTCCAGAGGTTTCACATGAATATTGCGCTGCTACAAAGTAGAAAAGTGTTATTCTAAATATAGACAGAAGATGGCGCCCAAATGTTACAACCTGTAAAATGAATCCACTCGCCTATACTCAAGATGCCTGGAGCCGATGTCCAGATGTCACCATGCAATCACAAAGGTAATTTTGTTACAATGCAAGTCTGGCAAAAACTTTACCAGTTTCAGTGCAAACGATTTTGTTTAAAAGTTGGCTAATTAGTTAACTATGTATCAGAATAAATGTAGAGTATGGCAGGCAGACTATGAACGAAGAAAGAAATGGCTCGTTGGATTGTAAGGTTTGTGTTAAAGCAGCCAAGAAGTCCCTGAATGGTCACCCTGGACCTGGAGGAGCTACATAGCCCTGCTGCTCAGATGGGATCATCTGTTCACAGGAGAAAAAACATGTTCCTGAGGGAGGATGACAAGAAGAACACACTAACAGCGCAGCTTGCCACAGAAAACAAGTTAAAAGCTGCTCTGGTCAGATGAGAGCAACGATGATCCTTTTAGAAAAGTGCTAAATGTGATACATGGTGGTGACAGCATCATGCTGTGGTAATGTTTTAAATAACTTTAAATTGATGCGGAGGTTCTTTCAGCTAGAATATTGTGGTTTGCGGCAATAAAGCAGAAAAGTGCAGTACTCAAAGCAGACAGGAGATGGCGGAAACTCCACACTGCAGTCCACACACCTGTTTATTAGTTGGTTAACAGACAGAGGTAAAAACAGCATCTCATTCAGCACCCTAGATAAATTCAGACTCTTAAAAAAATCATATAAGTTACTACAACAAACACCTGCTTTTGGCTATTGTTTTATAAATAGCATTATCTCAAAATTTACCCGACATCTGTGGTATAGAAATCTGTGTATATTTACATCCAGCGCTTCATCCGAGCCCCTTAAGCCAGCAATGATTGGACAGACCTGCTGCCACTCAAACATCACGACTCGGCTGTGTAGTTTTATACAGCCTGGGTTTTCCAGCTGCAATTGAGAACGTATAGGTAATCATCCAAAAAGGGTCTGGAAAGTTAATACTCCAAGGTGAACTGTGTTATAAGTTGGTCAGAATATTTGGAAACATGCTTAAGCTAATAACTTACTAGGATATTTGTAGTTGCATGGGACCGATTTAAATTGGTTCCAGTTTGAATAAGTTTGCTCACTATAAAACGTTGTAATTCAATTTTTGGAGTATTTGTGTAGAAATACTTACAATTACTTACCACGTCTTAATAAGTGGGAAAACAAGTTCGCTTCTCCCTCCCCGACCCTCCCCTAAATGCTTCTGGAGCCGACATTTGTTTACCCGTCGCTGTCTATGGGGAAATTTCCGACAGCTCGTGAAGGCATCGCCAGTCTCATTGTGGCCCTGTAGATCTAACGCCATCACACGCAGCGGCTACTACGGAGCAGCAGGGCAGTAGAACAACAGGGCCACCGCCGCCGCCGCTCAGCCTTTATTACCGACACATTCGTTCAGCTTAAAGCGATGGAATACGGCGCTGTGGGACATTAGTGCCGCTTATATCGGTAAGTGACGCTCTGCTCTGGTTTTCCACATCATTCTGCTCTGTCCTGTCTCCAAAGCGCAGTGAATGGCTGGGATTTATTTATTTCCATCCCCAGACAGTATTTCTTTTTTATTGGCGTTTCTTTAAACATGAAGGCACTTAAGCAGCGTTAGCTCTCTCGGCCGGTGTTTTCCTCCTGCTGCTGCTCCAGCAGGGCTGTGGAGCTGAGGCGTCGTCCTGGTTTGAACGTGATGCCCTGGTCGCTGCTCCAGCAGCTCACATCCTCTTTGTGACTTAATGGAAGAATCAACACGAAGCTAATTAAGCTGCTGGTGCTGGTAGGGGTTTGAAGGGGTGGAGGGGAGGGAGCTGTTAGTTCTCCAAGCACTGACGCATTTTGATCCTCTTATTTACCACAGTGCCCCCCGCTCCCCTCCCTGGCTTTCCTCCCATCAAACCATCAACATCTCATATCGATGCTTGGTGGAGTCAGATGAAGGACACATGATTCGGCTGCTGTGTGTTTCTGGTGGTGCTGCAGGGTTTTGGTGGGGGGGGAGCAGTCTGGATCCACGCTAAGCGGTCGGTGCAGTGCAGCTTTAAATGTGTCTGTGCGTGAATCATATGAGGCTGGAACACCACGCTGCTGCTCAACTCTTCTCAACCAGTTTGTGGTCCAGCTTCCAGTCGCCATCCCCACATTAATAGTAAGGAAAACCGCGGCTCCAACGGATAGTTTTGGATCTTGTGTTTGACTGGCTAATATCTGTCTTCTTTTTTTCTTTTCTTTTCTTTTTTTTAATGTGGCCAATCAGATGAAAGTTTCCAGTGGATTGTACTGACCTAGATGCTAAACCTGAAAATGAACAGGATGTTGTGATTATGAAAAGCAATAAATTCAATTTAATTGCAGTTGATATTGAAAGTTTTCCTACTATTGAAAAAACTTCAGCGTAATTCAGTTCAAAATGATTTACCGCAAAGTTAAAGGAAATGTTTGGGTACTCCTGTTATCCATCCACAAAGAGTCGCTGTAGATGGTGATGCTGTGCGCAGGAAGGATCTCCACTAGCAGTCAGTCTTGCAACGAATCAGCGGAGGCCTCTGACTGAAGATTGTTGCTGTGTGATAGTCTCGTGACTCAGCACATAAATGTTGGAGTTGGGGATATTGAACTTCCTCCTCTCTCTGCTCTGCATCCATGAAGCCTCCTGTTCAACTCCTCTGGGATTTGGGGTCATAGGTCAGATATTAAATGAGCTATTGAGATGCTAACCGGCTGCTCCCAAGAGGGAAAGTCGGATGTGGCACACCGACCCCAACCTCATGGCTGATGTGTGTTTAAGATAACTTTATTACTGAACAGTTTATCTGCATTTTTCATTGTTCATTATATTGATTCCACACACAAACACGTGCAGAAACCCTGTGAACATGTTTTTATAGTGTTTTTCTGTTAATATGTGCCTCGTTGAGTACAACAGATAAATCCTACTGATTTCTGGACTTGCATGTTGGTCATTTATTCTGGATGAAACTCCTGACTTCACAAGTAAATGTCAGTCAGTGTACCTTGCACTTTTTCTCTCTTCATTTTCTTTTGTTTTGTGTATCTTTTTTTGTCTTTAATACTCTTCAAAAATATCGGTGGGTTTAGAATACTCTAGAAGTGTGAAATCTTCTGGCTGTTTGTGCTGATCAGTTTTGCATTCGGCTTCATTTTCGCAAAAAACTCTTCAGCGTAGCTAGAGGCTCTATAAAAGGCGGTGAACTTATTTTAGTCCATGCAGCTAAACTTAGCAGGTGTATCTATATTTAAGCTGTGGTCTGTAGCGAAACCACTTGAACACTTTAATACTAACTAACATTATTCGTGTGGTGATGTATTTTTACTTTTTTTAGCATGTTGCACATATATTATGGCTTCAAATGATCCCAAGTCACCATCCCTCCTCTCCCATGCTTTATCGTTAGTGTGAGAGTCTTTGTGTTTAGTTTGTGCCCAGCGGTTGGAGCTGCGGGTGAAGTCCAACAAACTACGTCAGATTCTTCATCTGCAGCAGGGCTGACACTTAGAAGCTGTTAATCACCACCTTATCTGCTGGGAATGGTTTTCAGTATTTGCTTCTCTGATTTGAGTTAGTTTGTGTTTTAAAATGTAATACCTGACTTTCTGTTTCATTCCTACACTTGAAGGAGGGTAAACCGCGAGTAAACATATTATTTCCTGTTATCTTTCCATCATGCAGCGGCACTTTTTCTGTAGTTTCTAATTGGGGTTAAACATTCTCATCACCTCCGTTTCCTTTGAGAACAGTGCTGGGTGTTCCCCCATCTATTGTCTTAGCGGATAAAACCCCACCAGGTCTGGATCACAGCCATTTTGTTCCACGAGCTGGGTTTGCAGAAAAACTAGAAGGTCACTCGGTTTACCGGCTTCTTGCAAAGTTTTCAGAGTCCTCTCACTGCAGAGACTGTAAGCAGGTTGTGGTTTCCAGCCATGTGGCGGTGAAGCACACTGAGTTCAGGTGCTGCAGGTGCAGCAAGTATTGTTCAGGTGGATTCATCTTTAGGGTGAGCTCTGTGAACCAGCAGTCCTGCAGTTCTGTACAGTAGAACAGTAGTTTATGCTTTACAGCTATGCATTCATTATTCCATGTGAAATGGTGCCACTAATTATTATTAAACAGGTTTTATAAAATGTTGCAGATACATAGTTATCTTATGCTTTTTTTGTTGTTGTTTTTTGGGGGTTTTTTGTTTTTCAGAGAAAAAATTCCTCTCATGTCAGTAAACATGCAATGATCAAGGTTTTTCTGTCCAATACTGATTCCCAACGTGTGCAGCAGTTTTTTATATTTATATACACACTCATTTTAATTCCAACCTAATGAAAAATAAATTCTATAATTCTCCCCATCTTTGCTTGAAACCAATGGTGAGAAAACTTCCACTAATGTGCTAATAGCAGAACAAATTTTTCATTTAGCTCTTTAGTGCTTTCACTAACTTTGAAAACATTTAGCGCACCTAACCTCCCATGAACAACACTAACTTACTTGGCTGTTTTGTAAAGTTTTAGTTGAATAAAGTTCAATATGTGTGGTGAAGTGTTGGTTATCGACTGTTATGAATTGTTTAAATAGTTAGAAATTTATATGCATGCTCTTATTTTGAAGTTGCTTAAGTCTGTTTATGGACCAGCTCAATTTCCTCTCCTCATATTCTCTCTTTTTTTATATGACACATGGAAATTCTAATGTCAAAATCAAACTGTTGATCGAGAGTAGTTTCCTTTAAAGAGCAGAGCAGACATTAACGCTGTAGCATTAGCTTCTGCTAAGCACCATGTTGGTGTAGTTCTTTATGGTTAGTGGGGTTAATGTTTATGATTAGTGCTTTAGTGTTAGCAAAGTTAGCCTTTTAGCTAGCATCACACCAAAAACCATCAGAAACCTTTCTTTATAAAACACTTTCTGTTTGTTGATGAGTCGATGGGAGCCGTTTAGTTTTGATGTGTCTACTAAACGTATAGAAAAAGATCTTTCATCTCCTTAACAACTAAATCAAGAGAAAATTGAAAGTTTCCACTGTGTGTCTGTCTGATTGGTCAGTTCATCTCTACATCTCAGGTTTTCCACATCATTCTGCCGGCCATGATGGAGAGCTCTTCCACAGAAACAGGAGAACATGTTGAGCTGAGATGAAAGGCTTAGATAATAAACCGGAGCAGATATAGACCGCGATGTGTTTGCTGTCATGTTCTTGTGGTTATCTTTGTTTTTGTTAGCGGTCAGTCTTTTCTTCCAAACAATCTCTGCTATTCTCCTCCTCCACCCACTGATCAGCAGGGAGGAGCTGCTCCACTTTAATTAGTTCTGTAGCAATATGAATAAGTCTACCAACGATGGGAAGAATGATAAAAATGTTGCCGTGATTATGAAATATACCAGAACCCACTTCAAGGGCCAATTGCTTAGCTGATAATGAACTTCATTCAGTCATGTTTCCACCAAGTGAACATGGAACAGCTGACACACAGTACGGTGACGGTTGCCTTGGTGATGACAGCATCAGGCTTGTTTCTTGCTTGGTAATCTTTCTGAAGCAGGGGTCAAATCAATGTGAACGCACTTGATAGAGGTCAAGTTGAGTAAATTGTGAGGGAAGATGCTGATGATGACAAGAACTGGCATCATGAGACTCCATCAGTTCCCCTGGCAGTCAGAGTATTTCTAAAGCTTTCTGCTTGGATCAGGTGTTAGATACTAGATACTAATAAGATACATTTTTAGAATCAAATTAAGTTGTGTTTCTTGGAATTTCTTCACACCTACAGTTTGTTAAAAAAAAAAAAGTCCTCATTTTTTTCACATTACATGTCCAAATCCTGTTCATTTTATGGGACAGAGCGACACAAAGTTGAGCAACATTGGCAGAAGTAAAATGATGCAGGATGTTTCAAAATGTTCTGCAAATATAAATCTGAAAAGTACAGAAACATTTTAACTGCCAGAGCTGGGAAATGGATTCAGGAGCAGTGTCTAAACAACAAAACGTTCTCGTTATATCAAGATGCATAACTCACTAAAAATAGAAGACTTTTTTGTCTTAATGAGATTTTTTGGTAACACTTTTTTGATGGGGTGTGCATAAGACTGACATGACGCTGTCATAAACATGATATAACGCCCGTCATGAACATGAAGGAGTCTTTATGAATGTTTACGACTGTTGTCACGAAGTGTCATTCGGTAAATAATGCAAAGTTGACCATTTTAATGGACTTTTAATACAAGTTTCAATGCAATTTTGCATTAAATGTCATTATTTATCAAATGACACTTCATGACAACAGTCGTAAACATTCATGAAGACTCCTTCATGTTCATGACAGTTGTCATGTCATGTCAGTCTTATGCACACCCCGTCAAATAAAGTGTTACTGATTTTTTTTTTTTTAATTGTTACAATCAGATATCATTTAAACGAAAATATCTTCTCATTTAAATAAGAAAT